CCCCGAGACCCCCCCCCCACGAGCCCACCATTGTACCCGCACGAACGGGGAGAGTTATGAATGGTTCCTTGAACCGGGCCCTGGGGGTGGGGGGTGGGGGGTCTCGGCCACAGTCACTGCCTGAACCTGGAAGCGGGATTCGTCACCCGTGGTGGTCGGCTGCTGCGTGGCAGGGTCAGGGCAGTCGCGTCAGGGGGGGAAATTGGCTGACTCGCACATAGGCTGTGACCCTGACAGTTTTTCGTGTCAGAGTTTTATTAGGTTTAGGTATGTCGCGGTAATATTCAGCCACAATATTGCGCATCCTCTGTGATTCTTTCTGAGGCTCTTGTGAAAGTTTTCCAGCAAAGCCAGAAAAGTAGAGAGACAGCTGCAGTCTCAGTCGAGGGAAAAAGCAAGCAGAAGAAAATCTATCATGTCTCCGGAGACGAAGGATGTGCATCCCACTGAAAGAAATCCTTCATAGGTCACCAGTGGGAATTGCTAGCCTTCCAAATTGTGTTGGCTTACCTAACACTTACTTGCAAAGAAGGAAAAAAATGAGGTACCACGAACTGCAGGAAGTTAAAATTCTGGTCTGATAAGGAGTAAACATCCCAGAGCTGGGGATCCTGTAACGGAGTGCTCTGTCCCTGATACTGCAGTTCTCAAAGCTGCTTGTCGGCAGATCACTCTGTGATCGTAACAAAACTTTGTCAGGTACGCTGTTGGCAGTTTTGACTTCTTTGCAATGAAGGAGGGGCAAAGAGCAGAGGGGTGGAATATGTTGAAATTGCCTATATTTTTTGCCCAGACATCCAGAGTATTCACCAAACATCTGTTTCTCAGGTCACAGTCGGGAACAGGGAAGACGGCAACGTTCTCCATCTCTGTTCTGCAGTGTCTGGATATACAGGTAATTTCACAGCACATGCTAAAAGTGTTTTTTAACTAAATTGGTAGAGTTTTCATAATAAAAGCCTTTTTTTTTTAGAGTGAATAAATGAAGTGTTACATTGAAATTTTTCAATTATGGCTTGTGCACTTCAGACAGATTTCTGACTGAAAATTTCACCAGACTCTACTCTGTAACAGTTTAACTGTTAAATCCACCTTGGCAAAATAAGTTCAGAAAAAGTCTTGTAATTACAAAGTTGGCTTTAACAGCTGACCTCCTTCACATAGTTATTAGAGGGCTAAATTAGTCTCTCAGCAGGCAGAATTGTCCTCAGACAGTTTTAACAGCATCAGCAACCTGTCTGAACAGTTGGCGCACATTGCACAGAACCAAAACTAGATTTTTGACTGACAAATGTTTGCTTTGGTTCTAGTCAGAGGTCCATCCGATTGTTTTTTAAGCATAACTTAAATGTGTAGATGCTATTGAATAAAATGATGGTTTTCTGTGGGCCAGTACCCTCTTAAATAAAGCTTAGAGTGTTATTCACCTGTTACTGCCTGGGGACATAAAACTAAATGTTGCATGTGCTAAATGAAAAGGTCAGCATTATGCTTCATTTCTGTAAAGTGCTCGTACTATTTTTTTCACACGTGACGCTGAAACATTATCTTGGAATCCTTGCGCGATGCAAGGTTTTCATCTGAACTGAACATAAGAAATTGAAGTTATTTTGATTTATTTCTATTCTTTTGGAACAAAAGTACACACTTCCATATAATTGTTTTCAGAAATTAATTTGGAATGAAAAATAAGCTGTCAAGGAACTGCTTAAGTGCTGTTTTGTCAAAAGCAACTTAGTTAAGAGGCTGTTACTGTGCAAATGCTCTGTGAAAGCAGCTGTCTAGGTTTACCGACTTGTAAACGCTAGGTTTTAGCACAAAATTCTGTGGTTAATCCTTCAGATGTGACATTTCGGAGTACTCTGGAATCTATAATCTCTGTTGTGCTTGGATGATGTCCGCCCTGTGATTAACTGCCATGTGATCGCCTGTTTTGATCAGGTTCGTGAAACCCAGGCGTTGATCTTGGCACCAACTCGGGAGCTGGCTGTACAGATTCAGAAGGTAGGAGCATTTAAATTGCTGTCTATAAAGCACTTGCAAGGCCTAGGGCTGTTTCTGAAGTGTTCCCCAGTAGAGCTCAAAGCACAGCTTCTGCTTTTTCTTTCTGTCCTGAAAAGAATAAGAAATTCTGGTAAAGGGCTGTTTTGCTTATCTGCATTATATCCGTTCTTGCTTACGTGACCACACTGGCTGGTGGTCTAAGGTTTTACACATTCCTAACTGAATTTTTAAGGACAGCACTTTTAAAGCAGTTGTGATCCCGGGAGCACAGAATTCCCAGTGTTTGAAAGCCTGCTGTTGAGGAGGTTTGGGTAACAGACATAAAAAAAAATCCCTCTAACTGCTTGTGTTACATCTCTTTTAAAAAAAAAAAAGCATCGTATGGCTGTGCAGACCTGCATCTCTTCACAAATACAAACTTAATGAGAGCTCAGTTAATTAAACCATTCCTTTGTAACAACACAGGGTCTTCTTGCTCTGGGAGACTACATGAATGTCCAGTGTCATGCCTGCATTGGAGGGACCAACGTGGGCGAAGATATCCGAAAACTGGATTACGGGCAGCATGTTGTTGCGGGCACTCCGGGCCGTGTATTTGGTAAGGAGATCTGGGAGGCTGCATCCCCTCCATGTTCAGACCCGTGCTGAGCTATGGGAACCTCCCGCAACTTTTGTGTGCTGAGATGTGAAATAGCATGGGAACCACATTTATCGTGTCACCATTGATGTAATGTTAATGCGGAGTAACAACTTACTGTAGTAATAGGTGGAAAAGATGAGAGAGAAATTAACAGGGATTTGGATTAGTGTTTGGATTTTCTCTGTTTATGTTTTGCTTTTCATTATTGATGTGTTTCTCTGTATGGTGGCATGGGAACAAAGAGTACTATTTAAGCAGAAAATATTAGTCCCAGGAAATACTTCAGAGTCTTGGAGGAGATGGGAGCTGGGTCTATCTGAACATCAGAGTTAGGTCCATGTTTTCTGTGTACTGGCTCTCACGGTCTTTTTGTTAAATCAGGTGCACTTGCAGCTGGTACTTTCTGGTTTCATTGCATGAAGATTTTTATATTTACTGTTCACAGCCTTTACCACAGTGGTAGTGTTAGCCTTCAAGCTCATATCTTCTGGATCTCTGAGAAACAGGCAGCACATTCTTGCACAAGGACCTGTCGCTGGGAGAATCATAGAGCTCCACAGACCCAAAAAAATTAGCAGCTGCCGAACTGGGCTAGCTTTGAGCAGCGCACTAATGGCACATACTTTTCTATCACAGTATTAAGGGATTACACAAAGCCACGTGCTCTTTCAAGCAGGATGTGGATTTGCCTGGTCTGTTGACGAAACGTTCACGTAGCATTTTGCATTTCTCGCATCCAGCTGCAGCTGCAGTTACTGTGGGAAACTGGGTCACCTGTCCTGTGCAGTTAGAAGATAGCATCCCACAGCTTGGACGCTTAGAGCTTCCCTGCAGGCAGTGCTCCCTTAGCCGGGCTGCAGAGACGTCCCCCTAGGATGCAGGGTGCAGTGGGCACGCTGCGGCCCTTGGATGTGCCTTCCGTCACCAAATACTGGTCTCTGTTGGCAACCGGGGAAGTGCCTGTCCCTCCTCCACCAAAGTGCCCGGACAGCGGCCGGGAGTGCTGTAGGGTTGCTTGCTTTCAGAGCTTTTTAATCTTACAGAGTGAAATCTTACAGATATGATTCGTCGTCGAAGTTTAAGGACTCGTGCCATCAAAATGCTGGTTTTGGATGAAGCAGATGAAATGCTCAATAAAGGTAAAATACTTGTCTCCCTTTTGCTTCCTTTCTTCTCGCCTCTTTGAGATTCCAGGGTGTCCCTGATGGCAGTCCTGCTTCTAAAAACAATTGCTTTTGTCAAAGTTACACAATTATGGTTAATTATAGACTGTAACAAGTTAAACTACTGAATATGTCTTGCCTGGTTTGGTTGTACTGTCCTTTTCAATAATTATAAACTCTTGAGCACTACCTTTCATACTTTACTGTGAACCACGGCCACATTGTAGGTCTGAGAAAATTAGGAAGAGATGCGCAATTTGTGACACTGGCTTTGAGTTACTAATTCGCTCATTAATGTTCATCTCATAGAATAGGCCCAATACTGAATTCCAGATCAAATTGTGAAAGAGCAGGACGCTGCGGAGAAAGATGTACCAACTGTTCTGTGCTACTTGATTTGCTTTTCAGGTTTTAAGGAGCAGATTTATGATGTGTATAGATACTTGCCTCCAGCTACACAGGTGGTTCTGATCAGTGCCACTTTGCCTCATGAAATTCTGGAGATGACCAACAAATTCATGACAGACCCCATTCGTATCTTGGTGAAACGGTGAGTGAGTTTCCTTGGAAAGAACGGGAGCTCTTTGAGTTGCTCCAGCCCTGAGCAGTTCAGTCGTAACTGATGTAAATGTGCAGAGTCTCTCTCACGTTTGTTCTCACCATTGCAGTTTGTCTGAGTGTTTGCAGATATCCTCATGTCCTGTTTTCCAGCTGACTTTATCCTTGTCCAGTTCTGTTTGCTGCTGCTCAGCCTGACTGCCCCCTGCCCCCTCATCTTCCCCATGGATAGCAGTCCTTTATGCTGGAAGTCCATCTTTTACACTTACCCAATTCCTGTGCTCCTCCAGAGGGTCTTTGTAGGCCTCCTCCATTAATTTGCTATTATATTGCAAGCCAAAAAAGCATTTAGCTGACTGATCCTCAATGCTCTTGGGCATGTAACTTATGTCTAGTGGTGCCACAGGTCCTCATGCCCCGGAACTCAGCAGGAGTTAAGAGGAGGAAGCATAGGCAGCCTGGCAGGAGAAGCCTCCCTCTTGCCTGATCTCTCACACTGCCTCATTTACCTGAAGAAAGTAGTCTGAAGAACTACGAGACTGAAGAAATGAGTCTCTCTTGTCGAGAAGCTTGAATGTAAAACTGACAAGAACTGAAATTTTTGCTTTTGAAGCTGTCTGTTGAGAGCAGAGAGTGTGCCCTGGGAGTTCTAGTCTCTGTTGCACAGGTCGTGTTGGAGGCCCTTCTTAGCAGACTTCTCCAGGGATTTTCTAGAACAACTTGGAGTTGTATATGGACCCAGCAACCCACAAGCATGCAGGGCAGAGGGGCGATCTCCGCTGAAGCACACCCAGTCCTTCTACCTGCATTGTATGTATTCGCCTGCTCGTGGTGTGGTATAGCTGCTGTTCTTCCCTGCAGTGACGAGTTGACCCTCGAAGGAATCAAGCAGTTTTTCGTGGCTGTGGAGAGGGAGGAATGGAAGTTTGACACCTTGTGCGATCTCTACGACACACTCACAATCACCCAGGCCGTCATCTTCTGCAACACGAAGAGAAAGGTACAGCAGCCGTCAGACGGGTATGGTACTTTCAGAGGGTGACTCAGATGACAATGCTAGGACAAACCCAGCTAAGAGGTCTGGTTGTTTCCCTGTTTGGGAATAGTTTAGTAAGAACAGAGGTTAAACGTTTGGTTTTGGGATGTACCTAGCTTAAACAACTGGTTGTAGGCAGACCTGATATAGTTGCCTTTTTAGAGAAGTAGAACTGATTAGGTAAGAATGTTCCTGTTCTAGTTGTTTACGATCCATGAAACAAAACCACACTTTCTGAATTAATGCTCTCAATTCCTTTCCTTTTAGGGCTCGTGGAGCCCTGTATCTTATAGCTGGTGCTTTATAAGGGTTATTTACTTCCCTTAGCTCCAGAATGCCTGTTGAAGTGTCTCTCGGTCCTTACCAGCCTATGTCTCTGCAAACATTCTCCAAGCACAACGAGCGCGTTTGGCAGCCCTGAGCAAAGAGCTAACCCAGGCTGCTTGGTTGTATGTGCAGGTAGACTGGCTCACAGAGAAGATGAGAGAGGCAAACTTCACAGTTTCATCCATGCATGGGGACATGCCACAGAAGGAGCGAGAGTCCATTATGAAAGAGTTCAGATCTGGCACAAGGTAAGTGCCTTAAACCGTGTTGCTTACAGCGCTGCTACCTCAGGGCAGGATTTCTGCTAGTGTCTGAAGGGAACAGGCCTCAGAAACCCATGAAAGCTCTATTCTCTGAAGGCCTTGTTCAGCTCGGAGCCCTGATTCCCATCTGCCCCCCTGTGGTGTCGCAGGGTTGGGAGATTGCTGCTTTCCAAGGAGGGATGCTCATAGAGGCATAGAATTAGTCTGTTTTGTTTTGCTGAAGAGGTTGGGAGTTGCTGCATTTAAAATAATTCAAGGAAAAACCAAATTTGGGCTCTGTCCCGTATTTTATACTCTTAAAAGCGTCATATTCTTTCTGCAAGGTCAAAGCTGTCTTGGTACTGTCTGTCTTCACTGAAGTTTGGTGATGCTGCATGGAACAGCTTTGCTTGCAGCAGAAGTGCGGATGCTGCCTCTGTGCTGTGGGGAGGGAGGAGTGCAGAATAGCAGGGGCTACCCTACACTGGAGAGTACAATTTCTCAACTCTCACGCCCACCTTAGTGGGGTGGAACAGCTGTAACTGTCCCCTTCTCTTTGCAGCCGAGTCCTTATTTCAACAGATGTTTGGGCCAGAGGCCTGGATGTGCCTCAGGTGTCCCTGATCATTAACTATGACTTACCCAACAACAGAGAGCTCTACATACACAGGTGAGCTTGGCCTTCACGTGGGGGAGCCTGGTTGGATTACCCTTCCCCAGGGTGGCTCCATTTCCTCCTTCTTCTGCCTCTGCAGAATTGGCCGGTCAGGAAGATATGGCCGAAAAGGTGTAGCCATCAACTTTGTGAAGAACGACGACATCCGCATCCTGCGAGACATCGAGCAGTACTACTCCACCCAGATAGATGAGATGCCCATGAACGGTGAGTGCAGGCCAGCCGCAGTGAGGCTGCTGCCCTCCTCTGGCTGGGAGCCGCTGGGCTGCGTCTGCAGGACATGCCAGATGCTTTGTTTTGCCACATGCCTCGTCCCCAAGCCCGACCCGTTTCTGCCTCCCCTGGGGAAGAAGGTGGGAACAGCAGTAGGTGCACCATACTGCTGGGCTGTGGCAGTCGGCACACACTCATGTGCTCTTTTTTCTCTCATTTCAGTTGCTGACCTGATCTGAAGGCCCGTGTTTACCAGGGAGCTGTACTGTTTCGTAGCCTCCATAATTCTGTTTTGGACCCACATCTTTTTATCCTATTGCTCATCATGTGTTCTTGAGTTGAGCTGTACTTGGGAACTTGTGTAAATAATGTCTTTACTCCCACCCGTGTTTTTTCAATTAAAAAAAGGAAGTTTTACCATAACCTGTGCTTAATTACTTAAAACTCCCTGCCTGTTACTATCCTGGATTAGAGATACTGCCATACTTGGCTATCACAATCAAAAAACCATTTGACATTTGGTATATCTAGGTTCATAAAATACAGGGCTTCCTCTTCTCCACCCTTTCATTATCACTGTGCCATGCTACCTGATAAGCTTTTCACTTTCCTTGACTCTGAGGATCAACCAGCTACAGGAAAAATCTGTGGCCTGGCCCTAGCCTGCTCTAAGAAAATTGAGTTCCAAAATGGGAAAGAAATTTCCTGTTGTTTATGCCTTTATGGAGCCAGAAGTTACATCATGTGTTGCTCTGGAGAAGTATTTCCCCTCCCAAGGAACCCAGGGATTTGGCACATGTGCCTGCGAGGGTGAGTGCCTTTTTAACTTGATGCCGGCTGGAGAAATGCGTTCAAATCAGCATTTTCTGAACTAATCTTTTTATTACTTATTTTGAGCAAGTGTATTTTACCTTAGCGCCATCTCCACCACTTATCTCTCCTAATCTGTCTCCCTGCAGCTTTATGCTGCAGCATCTTCCATGGAGCTTTCCTACCTAGCTACTGTGTCCTTTTTGAGGAAAGTTGCCCAGAGCTATGCTGCTACTGTGGGGTAAATTACCACGTTTTACTGTATGCTTTTTTGTTAAATTGGTCAGAGCTCCCTTCCCGAGGCAGTAGCAGAGCAGCCCTGGGTAGAGAAAGTGAGCGTCTATCTGCATTAGGCCCCTGTGTATCCCACTAGTAAAGTTCCTCTGTTCCCTGGGACCTGCTCTGCGCATGATCCTGGTGGTCTCAACAGTACGTAGCCAAAAGTTGAGAAACACTAGCCTTACGTGACTAAGAATACTAGTGGCACGGGGTTGCCTGACAAGAGGCAAGGCTGCTCAAGCTTCACGCCCACACATGCAGCCGGCATGCCCAGTAGGCACACACACAACCCCTGCTCACACCACCAACACAGGTGGCACAGCCAGCCCCAGTACCCTCATCCCCTCCCCCTCCAGCTGGTCCCTGGCCAGGATGAAGGCCTGCCAGGGGGAAATACGCATGCACACATGCAGGCGCTGTACCTCCCTCTGGTAACCAGACAGGGAGGCTCGCTCGGTTCAGCCAGTAAAGGCCCTCTGGATCACCAGTCTGCTTGAGCAGCTGCCACATGGCCAGAGCCCGCAGCTCCGCTCCAGCTGCCGGCTCTGCACACCCTCGCACCACTCGCTGCGGGACTGGCCTTCAGGCACAAGCCTTGCATGTAACCGGCCCTCGCAGCCTCTTGGAGGCACACGTGTGCAAACAGGTCTCGGTTGAGCCCCAGACCCTCCAACTGTTGGCCTGGACATCCTGCTCCCTCCTGGTGCCTCACGCAGAAATGGATGCCTGCCCAGCCCAGGCATAGGGCTGCTTCAGCACCTGGCTCCCAGGCCCCTTAGCCTACTTGCTGCCTAAATCCTGCTTTGTGCTCCTGCGCTGACACACACACACCCATGCCCTGCAGCAGCTGGCATGTGCTTTCTACTCATTCCACTCTTCAGTATGCTGGCACTCCAAGCCCACACCACCTGTGACCCAAGGTCCCACAGCAGTTGCTGGCACTTAGACCTCCACGCCCTTAAAATGGAGTCCCCTCTCCCAGCAAAGAGGGTGAGAAATGGAGTTAACAGAGAAAAGACGACAGGGCCAGACAAGAACACTCACCAGCAGCCTGTTGCTACATCACCAGCCCCTTTTGTCCCCTTAATCATCTACTTCTCACACTCACTCCTCCCTAAAATCACCTTTTTTTCCTACCTTTGATCCCTCCCATAAAGTTGGAGGTTTTTTTGCATTAATTCTGCAACTTCTTGGTACAGCGCTCAGAAACTCTTCCCCCTACAGACCCTGTTTCAGTCCTCTACTAGAAGGGTAGAGTCTGGGTGAAGCCTTCCAGCTTCACTGTCCGCATCCTGGGCAGAGTTCTGCTCTTACCATCGCTGCAGGCCAAGCAGGGCGTAGCACAGCTTCAGACCCGACTCAACACCTTCTGGAAACGTAAAGGCAAGCAAGGCCCTCCAAGCCCCCTGTGTGGCTGCAGCTGTTTGACTAACACAGAAAAGAGAGTGATCACCAAAGCATTAGATTGTTTAAATAACAGTATTTAATCTGTACAGTTTGAGAGAAGATAGCATAAAATGCAACATTCCTACCTCATCCTCAGCATCATTCACCTGGAGCTGAGCCCTCCTCTCCAGAGCTCAGGTAACCACCACTCCCCAGCAGTTCTTTACGGTACAAAAGTCACAGTGCAATTGCTTTAGTCCTAGACAGATGATTTCCCTCACTCAAGAGAGGGGAGACTGATGAAGCTCAAATGTTGATGGAAATTGTTACCATTTAGGAATGCAAAAAACCCAGCTATTGCACACAGTCATTTCCAGCAGAAACTACAGCAGTTAATTATTTAGCTGCCTTTACACTCCACACATCTGAAAATGCCTTAGCTGATGCTCATTTAGCAAAGAGGGAGAATAGAGCCGGTAACAAGATTTCAGGATGATACAGTCGTTGGAGGGCAGAAGCTGACGAGCAACTCCACAAGTCAAGAAGCGTGCTTTAGAATACCAGAAAGTTTTGCTATACAGGGAGGGGATATGAGCTAGACAGATGCCATCTTTCGGAGACAAGCGTGAGAGGAACATCAGGTTCAATAGAAAGCTATGAAGTACAATAGACAATTTGTTCATATAATTGTCAGGATAAGTATTTGACATAGTTTATGTAGTAGAATACATACTCAAACATCTTTTAAAAATAAGCACGAATTTCATTTCATATATACACAACTGTTTTTAATCATGTACTGAAAATAAATTACAGGAAATAACTTTAAAATGCAACAGAAGACAAGAGTTTCACAACAAACATTCCCATTGATTTTCCCAAGGGGGTGAGAGATTGCAGTGCTCAAGGCAGGTAAATATCACAAATATATCAAAAAACTTCAAATTGTTGATGCATTCACACATTTACATGAGCCACAAACATTCCTTTACAGGGACTGCACTTAGCTACCACGGAACCAGGTTTTGCCATAAACTACAAAACTTTGATACAAAATTGTATTTATATATTTATATTTCATGTACATGCCCTATCTGTGATTTCTTAAAAAATAAAAACTAAACACACTGTACAGACAATCCTAACTCATTGCTTGGTAGCTGTAGGCAACATTTTTGGATGGAATTTCTCCCCCAGTAGAATTAATGGCAATATTATATACATGAAGGCTAAACTGCAGAAAAAGACAGCTCAGTTCTGATATGCACCTCCCTCAGGACCAGGTCTGCGAGCTCAAGGCAAGACACTGTACGGTCTGACCACTGCCTCCCTCACCAGTCAGTTCTGCCGGCGGCGGTGCGGAACCAATACATGCATTTGTGTAACACTGGTACAAAAGGCAATAAAGCAAGGTACATATTGTGATGTAGCGGCTCTAACGGCCTCCCCGATATGATACGCTCCACACACAGAAGCGCTCACTGGAGGCGGCGAGGGGATGCTGCGGAGCCAGGTGGTTTGGCAAGAGCACACTTGACATGGGTCTGATCACTGTCCTTCCCCAAAATGACCTCCTGCAAAGGGCAGATCCCCACTGTAAGCCAGAGACTGCATCAACCCCAACACCAGGGAAAGGTCCCTCCCCACCCCACTCCCCTGGCACACGTGTGCAGGGTTCACCAGGACAACACAGAAAACAGACACCCCCCCTCCCACCCCCAGCGGCCTCCACAGCACCAGTTTGTCTTGGAAGCAGAGTACTGACAAACTTACTCTTCCCAGGTGATGGCAGCGATCTGCAAAGCCAGTCACACTAAACTACTTCTACAGTTGATTGTAAACTTTGGTTTATTTTTATTCTTTTTTATTATTATTATTGAGTTCTCATGGTACAGCAAGCATGTCTAGGATGAGAGGGCAGAGTTGACGAGGAGACGAACTGTCAGTCTGTCTTTAGTCTGGCATGGTGAGACATCTGCTCGGTCAGGCCTGCTTTGATAGAGTTTTTTACAGACTGCCTCATATGATCCTCCATCAAATTATCACTCATGGGCTTCAACACCTGTGGAATGAAAATGCGCAAAAGAAACAAAAAAATGAGGTAACCAAGGAAAATGAAATATAAAAAACACACAAAGAGATGAGACTTAAAATAATGAAAAAAACATAGAATGCTGAAGTCTGACACAAACTGGCATGAACTGAAAGAGAAATGAGTTTTGCTACTACAATGATGAGGTTAAATCAGTCACATGCTATGGACACAAGTGATACCCCTCCTATACAGTGGTATTTCACTGAATTCCAACCACTTTACAGTTCCTAGAAGATGGATGTGCAATTCCATACCCTATATGCAGCATCAGTCTGGTATGGTTACAGCATTTATGCAGACCAGCCCAGACGGTCCAGCTTATTGTCCTATATGTGTAAGTGTGAACACTTCAGATACAGAAAGAAAGTTAAAAATACTGGCTAGTTTTTCTTCTTGTTATTGTTGGATGAGAGTCGCTGTCGTGGCACTGATGTAAGAGCACGGCGAATCGTTCGGCGTCTAAGGACTTCAAAGAGTTTGGAAAACACCTAAAACACGAATTCAGCTGTTAGGAAAAGTGGCTCTCAACAGGCAGCAGAAAAAGTCAATCGAGCTCAGAAAAAGAAACTGATTGCCAGTAACTTCTCACCTTCCTGGGATTCCTCTGAAGCAAGGAGGGAAAACAAAGACAGAGATTCAGACAAATGAATAGCAAGAACATGGTATATAATCAGAGTGACTCAGAGGGGACCTGTAGGTGCTTTGCATATTGTCGGTGACATGCAACTCTAGCAACACCACCAGCAAGCTCTTTTGGAGCCTGCCTTCCTCTAGAGCACAAAAGGCAAGCTTCTGCTAGCATAAGCCAAGTTCTCCCCCTTCCAGGGAAGATCAGCAGTCAAATCAAGCCTTATGGGCTCTAGGTGTCCTACTGCAGCAGCTGCACTCAGCGAGCACTACACAAACCCACACCTTCCACTTCTCTTGCAGTGCTCTTCAGCCTCAAGCTCCAAAGCAAGAAGCTACCAGTGGTACAGGAGAGCCTCAATTTTAATCACTAGTTAGAGGTGTAGCTCAAAATTTAGTGCCCTGACGCTCATTTCCCTCCTATTATTAGAAAGCCACTTTTTTTGCTCCAGCATAACTCAACCTTACCTCAGATAGGTCTAGTGTTCCACTGCCTATGATGAGCCTCAGAGTCATTTTTCAGACGTAGAAGAGAGCCTCTACACAGCAGGCTGCAGCTAGTTATTTCCTTCTGCCTTGTAGCACCCATTTTAATGTCATCCCAGGTAAGCTCAGTGAGCCCTTTATTTCTAGTAACAGCACCAAAGCGTTTCTAGTGGCACTGGACATAGCCACTCAAAATGCTCCAAATACCGCTTCTAAGAGTTGGTCAGGAATTCTCTGCGTCGGCTTTCTGGACACAGCTGTGTCAACTGGATTTGGACAGCAAAATCTCTGTACAGAATGCTGTCTCCTCCAGCTTTGGCACTCTTACACTCATGTTGTCTTTTCTTTCAGGAATTAGCCTGTCCGGCAAGTATTTCTAGCAACAGCAGTTGCACCAAATGAAGTTGTCACAAACAACACAAGGCTTCCTGAAGGAAGAAACCTGCTGCACATCCACTTGTAGCAGTTGCTGCAAGTCAGTCTGGTTGCAGCAAGCCATCAGCCAGTTCTCTCTGAGGTCTAACTAGCCCTCCAGTGTCACACCATCAGGTGAAGTGAGCAAGGGCAGCAGAGTTTTGCCTTCCCCATTACTTGCATCACCCGAGATATTTTATCCATCATATCCACAGGACAAGTTTACACTTTTTTAAACATGCCTTTAAAAGCAGAACTCCTTGCTCTCAAAAAATAAGATTTTTTAAAGAGTCCCTCGCACTCTTTTTTTTTTTTTATAATATCCTAAGCTTGTTTAGCATACTTTGTGTGCGGCTTCTCTGACTGAAGAGAGCAGTCACACATCTGAGCCGATTTTCCCTTTGACAGCAATAGCATTCTCCATTAGGTGTAGACCAGCTTTTCACCCACAGCAGTGAACAGACACTATTTGATATCTCTGCTCAAGAAAGGAAGATTCCGCATTAAAAACAGATACCAACCTGTTCCCATATAGCTTCAGCAATCTGATCGATGGCTGTTCCAACTTCTCTGAATTCCCCAGAGTACTTAACGTACGCCCAAGTACAAAACGATATAAGAGCCATCCCCAGCACGAGATTACACAGGGTAGCTATGGAGTTCATACCAAGGAACCCAGTCAGTCCTGAGGTTATATACATGGCAAACATGACTGCAAAGAGAGTGGCAGGGGTACGAGCAGCATAAAAGATGTTTTTGCCATCGTTGTGCTTCACAAAGTTTGCATAGATCTCGTCGATTTCCACTTCAAGCTGTTCCTGGTAGCGCCGACAGAACTCCTCCCCTCCCATCTTCTTCACCGAGCAGAACTGCCTGACAGCTGACTCCCTGAAATCCTGGTGCTTCCGCTCAAGGTCCGATGGGGCAATGTAAGGCTTATCTCCCCCACAAACCTGTTAGAGCAATCAGAAATGAGGTAAACACATCCTAAGCATCTTCTGCTGTACAGAAAGCAAATCTGCTCCTCGCTGCCCCCCTCTCCAGCCAGCATCAGACTACCTCCTGCAGCTTTCTTGGCTCTGTAAGCTCTAGAGTCCTGTCTCAAGGGAAGCAGCTACAGGTACTTTGCATCACGGCACAGCAAGAGCCTTACCTGTAATCACATACAGAGCTATAGCGCATGACTGAACTCACACTTCCAACGGTTCCCTTTGGGCAAGCCCAGAAGGGCAGGACATCAGCCACATGTACATTCCTGTTATGGAAAGGTGAAATAAAGGAACACCAGGAGGCAGATAAAGCTTGGCTTGAGGAAGGTTAAGGAGAACTCTGAAGGCCACAAGCCCTCCCCTCAGCTTTTTACTCCTGGTCACTCATCTTAGTGAGAGGATCAGTGCAGAACTTGGACAAACAGAGTAGATTTTGTCCTCTCAGCAAGTTTATTCCTGTTTCTTGCTGCCACTAGCAGGCTCCATAGAACTTACCAGGTGATACGAATTAACAAGAACCAGCTGCTGACATCTTTAGCCTGTTCTTCCCTAGACTGTCCTCTAGGTTTAATTCTGATCAACTTGCAAGAGTACATTTCTGATGAAGGGAAAAGACCACGGACTCAAAAGGATACCTGTGATGTGGACACCCACCACCTTCCTCTCCCTGAATCAGCATGGGTATGACAATGGTTAAGCTCCAGGAAATTCTACTCTGTAAGACTGACTTCTGGCCTCCTGAGGACTATGATTAGAGATTACCTAGGCCAGAGACACACATACAGCAGATCAGCTCCAAATCCTCCAGACCCTCTCAGTCAGACTATGTCTAAAAACTGAAGATTCTTTCCTACCATGTCAAACAGCCTTCCCTCACCTGCCTCAAGGCAGTCTTACCACAGTGCTTGTCATCTCATGTCTTGAGCACAGCAACAACTGTAACTTTCTCCTGCTGCTATCCCTTCAGCAG